TATCTCCTTCTCTTCTTGTCCAAACCTCTTTCCTCTCGATACTTTTTTCTCCTACCTAAACCCTCACGCCATTTCCATGGCCCCTTACCTAAACTAGCCTGTTTAACAAGAAGACTACGCTAAAAACGGTAGGAATGTCTACCTCGCCGAGATTTTAGGGTTGAGGGGGGTTCGTGGAGGATTGTCGCTAGCATTGATGACTTAGCCGAAATAGAGTGGCGTGGGGCTGCTTGGAGGATTGACTCTAGCATCGAGGACTTAGCCGAAAATTGTTTGGGCGGAAAAAAACAAAGCATGCGCCCGTGGGGTGCGTGCATTTGCAAGATTTGATGAACCAGGGTTATCCCAGAAAGCATACTGACACCTTAGGGCTGGTACACGAACACTATATTGAAACTTAAGGGTTGCCCTATGACTCAAAACTGAATTCACACGGTGGAAAATTACCTTAAACTGAATTTCCAGGATTGGCCCCCAACAAGCATCCTGAAAATCAGGAATTATGGATAGAACATCCTTATACCTGAAGGCCTGCCCAAGTCGCCTTATCGAGTCGTAAAAGGGAATGTACCCCTTGAAGTGCACAAACAATTAGACTCTTCACATTCCCTTGTATTATTATATAAACCCATGTATCCCTTTACTATAATCAATCACTTGTTCTCATATACCAGTACAAGTGTTCAAACTCAAGACTTCCGCTATGCTATCAAGCACTCTGTTACAAGGACCTAGCCTTCTGAAAATATCTTTGGGCTATTCTCAGCCCAACATGGTATGAGAGCTAGTCAGAAGCTATGGTCCTGTTACAAACTCCCTCAGTGAGTTTCTAACTCGCTTGAAGAATCATCTGCAACAACTTTAGTTTATCAATTCAAGATTACAAGACATGGCACCATCTAAGGGCGATTCCCCTCTGCACCCCCACTCTCTGGACTACAGACTAAGGCAGTCGCAGCTGCATGAGCCTCCACGCAACCAATGGCCTCCTCCATAGGCATGGACCCAAATCTAATGGAGAAGTTCTTATCCTTGATGTCTACCTACGAGCAGCCTTCGGCACCTGCTCAATCAGCACGCAGCAACAACAACAGTGGGGCAGTCCCAATGAGTCTCAACGGCGCATCGTACGCAAGAGGCGTACAGGCCATACAACACCAACCCTACCAGCCCTCGCCGGGCTCGGTTACCTTCCTGCCGACTCCCGCGCCAGCAGTGGACTCAGAGACAGCTGACAAGCAGACTGACATTATCACCATTCAATAACAATTCAACAATATTCTGAAACTACAGACGTCCTCACCTTTCAACGGGAAGGATTTCTTTGCCTGGAGCTTCGAGTTTGAGTTGTTGATGGACGGTGCGCAAATCCTCGGATTCTTCACCGGCTCCTGGCCCTTTCCTGCAAACAGGACTACTCAAGAAAATAACATTTACACTATCAGTCGCTGATGGCCTTTCCCATCCTCTTACGCAACCTGACAGCAACGGAGCAGCAAAGCATTCGCACATATTGCAACTTCGGCAACTCGGCCGAACTGGCATACTGTCATCTGAAGAGCGTATACCAAGCAACTGACTAACGTGATACTAAAAATATCACGGCACTCATCGTCGACAACCTCGACTACAATCTACTAAATGTCAGCCAGCTAATGTCGAAGGGTATTCACCTGGAGTGTGATCGAGAGTTCCATCTCTATCACGGGAAGGGTGTTCTCTTCATCGGCAGAGACATCCAGAAGCACGAGGTCTTCGTCTTATATTTTGTTCCCGACCGCGAGACAGCCGACAGCGATGGCGTCTTCTCCTTCACGCCCTGGTTGCAACCCACGGATCTTGACCCCCGATTCGACCGCGACGGTTTTTGGTACTCCAACACCATCCCTAGAGCAGAGAGCACACGGGCATTAGCGGTGATGCGAGAAGCAAAGGAACAAGAAGCAGAAACGAGCCACCACTGATTGACGCCAAGCACCTGAAGGCGCATCCTCGCGAGCAACATCGAAGCGCTACGATTGTCTCCGCCTTCTACGCCAATTCGGACCTGTACCGCCAATATGTGGGACACAAGGCGAGCAAGGAAATATGGCATCAAAGGTTAGGACATCCCGGCAAATCCAGACTTTTTGACACTATTCGTGCGAACGTCCTGGACAAGGATGCTCTTCTACTTCTCGACGGCCGTGAACTTCGATGACTCGACGCACCTGCTTTCTCTACCCAGAAGCAGATCATCCTCGTCAATCGTTCCCGTCGCACCACAACCCAAGCGCACCAGAGTATGCTCCACTCGAAAAGGTCTACAACGATATACTATATATCCCACGAGAAGTCAGCCGGGCCGACCTCAACTACGTTATCACCTTCGTCGATGCCGCGACATGGTACACCTGACATCTCAACCTACCGTCACGCGACCTCGCCTTCTCTGCCTTTGTTGCATGGCATGCATCAGAACGGGAGGGAGACACGAAGCTGAAAAGTTTTCAATCTGAAGGGGCGATGGAATATCAGTCACAATGATTCAGGGACTACCTCGCTGAGAGAGGAATCAAGAGGCTCGTCACCCTCCCCTATGCTCACCAACAGAATGGTGTAGCAAAGAGGATGAACATAACTCTCCAGAACACCATGAGGAAGCTTGTTAGAGGATCGAATGTGTCGAGGAGAAGTTGCACTATTGATTGATACAACGCGCTTTTATACTTCCAAAGTACATCAGGTAACCAGGTTTATCCTATCCAAAGGGAATAGACCCTTCTAGAAATAGAATCACCATGCGCATAGCCACGCGAGGCTATTGGCTTTAAGGGATTATAGCAGGATTACGCTAGATATAGCGCGCCAGTACATCCCGAGCCTGGTCGGTGATATAATTATAATAATAGGATAAACCAAAGGATAATGGAATAGGAGAATTAGGAAACCAAATGAGATGAGAGAAAAAGAGGACTGAAATAGAAATCCGATATGGAAAGGGAAATTGGTGTAACGGGGTCGTACTCTCACACTTCCCCCCCTCAAAGCTGGGTGGTAGAAGTAACACCCTGCTTGACAAGGTAGTTGCGAAGAGGACAACAAGCATTACCCATCTCGGATTCAGGAACCCAAGTGTCCTCAGAAGAATCATAACCCTTCCAAAGAATGAGAAGCTCCACGGTGCCATTCCAACAACGGCGGTGTGCGAGCACGGACTCGACCTCGTACTCGGGTTCATCGTGGATGAGGAGGGGCGGCGGCGGCGGCGGTTGGCATCCGGTGAAGACCGTGTTAGGGTTGGGATAGGGCTTCAGAAGTTGGACATGGAAGGCGTTGTGAATCTTCCAGGAAGTTGGTAGGCGTAAGCGGAAGGTAACAGGAGTGGCCTGTGTTTCAACGAGAAAGGGCCCGCAGAAGCGAGGTCGCAGTTTGGATGGGAGGTGACTGATGTTGATATTGCGGGTGTCAAGTAAGACTTTGTCTCCCACGGTGATGGTGTGGTCAGTGCGGTGGCGATCGGCCTGGCGCTTCTGTTGCTGCTGAATGTCAAGGAGGCGCTTGTGGGTCCGATTCCAAAGCTGATGCATGGTCGTGATGAAGTCGTGTGCGGGTTGAACTGTAGCTGATGTTGTTGGTTTTTCTGGTGTGAGCGGGTGGCATCCGTAGTAGAGGAAGAACGGCGTCTGTCTAGTAGAGGCGTGAGTGGCATTATTGTAGGGAAACTCCAGGACGGGCGGATGCAAGTCCCATTTAGAGATTTCGTCTTTGCATGCGGCGCGGAGGAGCTGCTCTACAATTTGGTTGAGGCGCTCGGTCTGTCCATCTATCTGCGGATGGTAGGCGGATGACATGGCGAGTTTGGTCTCGAGCAGAGACATTAGTTCCTTCTAGAACTTGCTGGTGAACTTGGGGTCTCGGTCAGAGATGAGTGTCGTTGGAATGCCATGTTGAGAGATGATGTAGTGAACGAATGGTTGTGTTGTTTCTTCGGTGTGTGCTGTCGTGTGTGTCGGGATGAAGTGTCCCATTTTGGAGAATTTGTCGATGACAACGAGGATTGTGTCATGACCGCTAGTGGTAGTTGGTAACCCGGTTATGAAACACAGGCTAACCACTTGCTATGGTTGTTCTGGGACAGGAAGAGGCTGTTGCGGTCCTGCTTTCTTCTGCTTGCTGCTCTTCATCCGCTAACATGTTGCATACGAGGAGACAAATTCTTGGACGTCGGCTGCCATGTGGGGCCAGTAGTAGTGCTTTGCGATACCGGTGAGCCTCTTGTTGCTATCAAAGTGTCACGTGTATAGGAAATCGTGGTATTCTTCAAATAGTAACTGGCGCAAAGGAGGGTAATTGGGTACCCATATCTTCGTTGATCCCTTCTGGTATGCGATGTCACTGTCCCACTGTAGCAGGTGCCGTTTTACTACCAAAGGAATTTCGGGGTCGATGGTATACTCGTGTGTGAAGAGTCCCTTGAGAAGTGGGTTCATCCCTTCGACCTGGATTGCGGCAACATGTGCAGGCCGACTGAGAGCGTCTTCTTTGATTTTGTGGCCGGGCTTGTACACGATGTCGTAGTGGAAGTGCGTCTCGAGGAAGTCAATCCACTGGACCTGCCGCCTCGAGAGGTTTGGTTGTGTCTTCAAATATTTCAGGCAGCAGTGGTCGGTGTAGACGGTTGTTTGTCGTCCTTCGAGATAACATCTCCATGTTTTGAAGGCGACGATAATAGCAAGGGCCTCTTTGTCATGTATCGGGTAGTTTAGTTCTGCCCCATGTAGTTTCTTGCTGAGGTAGGCGATTGGTTGCAGTCCATTCCCCTGGTCTTGCATCAAGAGTGCTCCCGCTACCTGGTCATTAGATTCAGCTTCGATGACGTAGTCGTGTTCGGGGTCTGGCAAGATGAGTACAGGCGCGGACGTGAGTGCTTGTTTCAGCTGCTCTATGGCTTCCTGATGTTTTGGTTCCCACTTATAGGGCGTGTTCTTCTTCAGCTGATTTGTGAGTGGCGTTGCGATTTTTGCGTATTATGACACGAACATGTTCTAGTAGTTAGCGAAGCCTAGGAACTGCTGCAACTCCTTCACGTTTTCGGGTGTCTTCCACGTGCGTACGGCTTCGATCTTCTTGGGGTCGACGTGAACTCCTTGAGCGCTCACCATGTGTCCTAGGAATTGGACTTTCTTGAGGGCGATTTCGCTCTTGGAAAACTTGACGTAAAATCGTTCTCGTCGGAGAATGTCAAAGACGCGTCGCAGGTGTTGGACGTGTTGCTGCATGTCGCGCGAATAGATGAGGATGTCGTTCAGGTACACCACCATGCATTCGTCCAAGAGTGGGCATAGAATATGGTTCATTTCATCTTGGAACGTTGCTGGTGCGTTGGTGAGTCCGAATGGCATTACCAGATACTTGTATGACCCGTATCGAGTTCGGAAGGTAGTTTTGTGGATAAAATTGTCTGCCGTTTCTATCTGCCAGTATCCGGACCGCAGATCCAGTTTGGAAAATACCGTGGCTCCCCGAAGCTGGTCAAGCAGGTCAACGATTCGTGGGATTGGATATTTGTTCTTGATGGTCTGCTTGTTGAGAGCTCGGTAATCGATGCACATGCGCAGGCTTCCGTCCGGTTTCGATGTGAAGAGTACTGGGGCACCGTATGGCGAAGTGGATGGTCGGATGAGTCCTTTTGCGAGGAGATACTCGATCTGCTTCTTCATGTCGGCTAGCTCCGTGGAGCTGAGCCGATATGGTGCTCGGAAGGTCGGCTTCGAACCTGGTTCTTCCACGATCTCGTGTTGGTGCGTTCGGTATGGCGACAACTTGTTTGGAAGGTTGTCGGGAAGAATGTCTTAGAACTCCTTCTGTAAATCCTTGATTTTTTGTGGAGGTTCCGAGGTTTTCTCTCCATTGCTTTCCATATCCGTCGCTATCGGCAAGAACCCGGTCTCGGTTCGTTTTACGTCCTTCTCGAATCGTGCGAGTGTCTCCACTGGGATATCTCCTGTATCGTCCCTATTTGGTGGCTGGACTCTCCTTCCGTTGTTGTAGATGCTTGTGGTATGATTTACCTAGTTGATCTTGGGGTTGAATCTTTTTAGGAAGTCTCGCTCGAAGATCAAGTCAAGCCATTTTATGTTGGTGATGGGAGTGCAGGTCTCCAGCACAGTGGTCCGATGTGTAGGTGTAGCACTGCTTCGTCGTGTACTGGTAACTTGCTGCCGTCCACCATCATTGCAGAGAATATCGAAGGCTTGTACTCTTCCCGAAGTCGGTCGATTACTGCCTTGTCGCAGACGGTGGGCGATGCTCCGCTATCCATGAGTGCTTGGAGGCGTCGTCCTTTGCAGATGACTTCGAGCACGAGGGGCGGGCGTTGCTCGGAGTACCCAAAGATAGTTTCGTTAATAGGATCATAGGGTGCACACCTTTTCTTGCTATCTGCTCGTGGTTTAGCAGGTGGCCGAGGCTGCTAGGAGAATGTTTCTTCCTCAGGACCCTCAGCTTTCTTGACGACTGTGTGTATCGTTGATGCCGAATTTGCTGAGCTGGATGCATCCGGAAGAGGAGTTAAGGGTTTTTGCAGCTTCTTGTAGACCCCCACCTTCCTCTTGAGCTGCTTCAGCTCCACCGACGTCTTCCTTGGGAAACGGGTAGTCGTTGTGGGCTGGTGTCGGGAGAGGAAGTTGACTTCATGGGAAGGTCAGCTTCTTTTCACACTCCTTAATTTTGTCCCCAAGTTTTCCAGTACCGGTATGATCTCCACAAGTTTCTGCTTCTTCTAGAGTCCCTTCCGAAATTTCTCCAAGGCTCTAGCCCCTCGAAAATCATAAGTTTTCCTTAAAGCATCTTTATAAGATAAATTTAACGAATCCTTATGATTTCTTGTCTCTTCTAGGAGTTTCCCCATCTCGGCAGAGTCCTTTTTCGCGGAGTCAGATTTTTCCTCGGCGATTTTCTCTGGCGAAGACTGGTCGTGGGGTGGAGATTTTTCCCCATCATTTCTTCCTGCTTGCGTCGAATCAGCTTCGTTGAAGTGGATTTTCCTGGAAGTCCGCGGCCGCTTTCGGGTCTTTTCTTTTTCGCCAGCTAGATCCGCAATCACTAGCGAATTCGGTTTTTTGTCTTCTGATTGGCCAAAGAATTTATGCCATTGTTGCATGCCCGATACGTTGCGCGTGCGGCTTTCATTTTGTTGTAGTCAAATATTCGATGGCCTGGCACCCCGCAAAAATCACACGTGTAGTTGGTGTTTTTCGGACGTGACCGCCCATCGAACGTGTCGATTTCCATCGGGTCGGCGAACGTGGTGTGAGCCGAGCGGTCGCCTTGTCGCTGCTACCTGTCGTTTGACTTCGGTCTTCAGCCCGGCGAGATACCGCTGTACTTTTTCCCCTTCGGTCAGATCAGAAATGCGGTTATAAAATTCCTCCATCTGTTGTGTGTACTGTGCTACACTCCCCAATTGTCGATGGCGATGATTTTTTTCCCGGGCAAGGAAACCCGAATTTTCGGCTCGAAGCATTTCAGCAGGTCGGTGCGGAGCTGCTGCCACGTGGCTTCGCCATGGATGAAGCTACTATTACCGCTTATCCACTCGACTGCCGGTCCTCACATCAGTGTCACCGCGAGTCGTACGCGTTGACCGTCCCAGATTGGCGAGCTCCATCCGACGGTTGCGATGTAGATCTCCAAGCCAGCGATCCATCTACGAGCGTCGGAATTTTGATCGCTCGGATCGAACAGCTCAGGTGGGCGTGGTTTCGGAGCCTCGAGAAACTCCTGCGACTGCTGCGTCATCGCCGTTGTCATATAGTGCTGCGCGCCGGTGAGTCGAGTTACTCGCTGGAACTCGTTTCGCCAAGCTTCGCGATCGGCTCGCATCTCCTCCTGAAGGGCAGCGATGCTCGCGAAGAGCTGCTGGGTAACCTCGACGTTGTCGAAGTTCGCCATCCTGTTCAAAACATGCACGGAGGGGTGAATTCGAGAAACGCGGAGCTGGTGCTTACCGGAATCGGTGCCAAATTAGTCGCCCCCGGCGTTGTTTTTTTTTTTTTATTATTATTATTATTATTTTTATAAAGCAGGTTTTCCCGCTGCTCCTGCTTAGCTGAGCGCGGCAAAGTGAGAAAAGCTCTGATTACCAAGTGTCACAGGATCGTAAGTGTCAAGGAGAAGTTGCACTATCGATTGATACAAGGCGATTTTATACTTCCGAAGTACATCAAGTAACCAGGTTTATCCTATCCAAAGGGGATAGACCCTTCTAGAAATAGAATCACCCTGCATATAGCCACGCAAGGCTATTGTCTTTAAGGGATTACGACAGGATTACGCTAGATATAGCGCGCCAGTACATCCCGAGCCTGGTCGGTGATATAATTATAATAATAGGATAAACCAAAGGATAATAGAATAGGAGAATTAGGAAACCAAATGAGATGAGAGAAGAAGAGGAATGAAATAGAAAGGAGATATGGAAAGGGAAATTGGTGTAACGGGGTCGTACTCTCACAAAGCTACTGACTGGGATGCGTCTGCCCAACCCGCAGTGGCCAAAGGCGATGAACCACGACGTCATGTTGCAGAATCTTCTGTCATCAAGCTCCTTGTCAAACAACGCATAATCGCATCTGCTATGGACCGAGAAGTAGGGCAGCACAAAACTGTTATGAGTGTTCAGCTGCATCGTACAGTACCATCCTCACACTGGACGAGCTGGACGATTTTTGCAGCGGGCAAGATGGGGTCTACACCTCGGTGTGGAAAAACATTACAAGGCTCGGAAATTTTTCGACGTGGAAGATAAGGAAACGATACCTGGACGTGATGTGATTTTCTACGATAACCTCACCCTCAACCATTACGTGGAGAACATTGCCACCAATCAAGACCCATCTGGTTATTTCGCTGGCGCACGCGCGTTCGTATCGACCGAAGAAGAAACTGACATGAAGGAGCAGAACGTCCCGGACGTGTCAGCCGCTGCAGGACCACTTCCTTATTGCTCCGTCGACATGCCGATGGACGAAGAAAACCCTCGCGAAAGCGCGAACGTTGAAGCCTACTACCACTTTGCCGACACCGGTTACGTAACACCCAACAGCGTCGACACCAACGTTTCAGAACCAACAGGACCAGGTTTCGTACCTAATCCTGAACCGGGAGACGAAGCAGACTATCCCGAGGATCCAACACCTTCCCGCTACACCGAGTCTAGCATGCAAATCCTCAGACTCGTCAAAGCCGTACATCACCCGTCCTCTCCATCGCCAATCGAGGAATCAAAGACTGTCAAGCAAGCTCTGCAAGGACCACACAGGGAAAAATGGAGGGAGGCAATGGATTGAGAGTTAGCTGCACTGGACGAACGAAACACTTGGAAGCTGATACCGATTTCTCGGACCAAGGGGAAGACCATCCTCTGCGGGAAGTGGGTCTTCCGAATGAAGACCAAGGGAGATGGGACCATCGAACGATTCAAGGTACGATGGGTGGTTCGCGGATTTGATGAGCTGTACGAGAGTGACTACACCAAGACCTTCACTCCGGTTAGTCGCCACACTTCCCTTCACATTCTCCTCGCTGTCACCGCCGCCCTCCACCTTCCTCTGCGACAAATCGACGTCGCCACCGCATTCCTCTACGCTCCTGTAGATGCCGACATCTTCATCGAGCCTCCCTACGCCTTCGTCAACGACCCAACGCTGGTCTGCCAGCTGCTTTAATCCCTCTACGGGATCAAGCAGGCCCCGCGCCTGTGGCAGCAATACCTGCACCGGATCCTAACTAGCATGGGCTTCGCCCAACTCCCTCACAACCAAGGCATGTACAGGCTATCATGCAGCGGCGACTACGTCCTGCTAATCGTCTACGTGGACGACTTGCTCTACGTCAGCTCCACCTCTTCTGTCACAGGATCTAATGAGGTTTGCACAATGTTGCACTATCAATCAATATAAGGTGCTTTTATACTTCCATAATACAACAGGTAACCAGGTTTATCCTATCCAAAGGGAATAGACCCTTCTAGAAATAGAATCACCTTGCGAATAGCCATGCGAGGCTATTGGCTTTAAGGGATTATAGCAGGATTACGCTAGATATAGAGCGCCAGTACATCCCGAGCCTAGTCGGTGAGATAATCATAATAACAGGATAAACCAAAGGATAATGGAAAAAGAGGAATAGGAAACCAAATGAGATGAGATAAAGACCAAATGAGTCAGGAGTGAAAGAGGAATGAAATAGATAGAAAATATGAAAAGGGGAAATTGGTGTTACGAGGTCGTACTCTCACAACTTCAATCACCATCTGGTTCTAAGGGGAGCTGGAACTCCAACTGACGATAACAGTGTCGTCGACCATGACGCAGCACCTCGGCCTCAACGTCACCGATGGCCCCGACACCATCCACCTCTCATCTTCAAAGTACGCCAAGACCATCGCTCGGAGGTTCAATCTATCCCCGCTACCACTCGCTACTGAGTATACCTACGCGGTGCTAGCACTCGCGTCGACCGTCTCGCTACTCGCACCAGCCAGGATCCAGGAGTATCAACCAAAACTAGGATGTCTGCTATTCGCCACCGTTACCTGCCGTCCTGATCTCTCCTACACCGCTAGCCAGCTCACAACCTACCTTAAGCGACCTGAAAGGGGGAATCTGCAAGAAATCGATCGCGCGCTCCACTACTTCGTCTCGACCCTGACAATCGGCCTGACCTACCACAAAAACGCTGCTACCAAGACCGAACTTATCGGCTACGTCGACGCCGATCACGCTGGCGATAAGGACAACCGACACTCACACGCGAGCTACATCT